AAATCTTCTCGACTTAATTTTTTAAGAAGAAACCGAATGTTGCAATGTACAGATATTAGACTATGGTATATTGGCTCATATACCATAATGGCTAAGCCAATAAAAATTCTTGAATTGCATTATCCAATGATCAAGTTTGTAATAATTAACAATAGAAAACTGTCAGTTTATCTTACAATACTTTGCGTTACGTGCAGGTCAACTGTTATCTTAGTTTGTTGTTTCTGTTCTGCGGCAAACTTTAGAAAAAAAACTGGAATGAACTAATCATTTCTTGCATACTTCGGTACTGATATTGATATTTATCAATCGACTTTTGTCCCAATCGATTAATAAGCTGTATATCCAGGGTCAGTCTTGCTTTAATTTGGTGTGATCAAGTATGAAGAAAATCGTCACATTCGAAACCCATGAGAACTTTTTCCCATCAGACAAAACAGATCTACTGAGACAATATTGACGCTATTAACAGCTTCAAAGAATGATATAATTTGCGACGCGCACACATTGTAGCAGCTTGAACCAAACTGATCTACGTAAGCATTTCAGGGTCGTAAAACGTTGTTGTCGCCGAGTGCTTGTTGTCGTAAATACAATGAATTGAGAATTCCCTTTAATTCTTACGTATTCAGTTATATTTTTGGCTTATTAATATTCATATTTTCGATTATCCAGTTCTAGCTATTAAGCCCAGTCCTCACCTGTCCGGATAATCGACGTTCGACTGCATTTACAAGTTTGCTACGCCTCATCACTTAGACGATTAAATCGTATCATCAATTAGACGTACGGTTAAACATGATTTTAAGTTCCTTCTGTCTCTACAAATGCGCCATGCATGCAAGACCAAACGCCAGACTTGTCAGACAGTTTGATCTCTTTGAATGACGAGTAGGGCTTTATACATTCACTTTTTCTCAATTTACAGCTAAATATATTCCCAGTCCCTAAATTTTATTCCAGGCTTTCGCTCCTATGATGGCACGGCTGCACAACAATGGAACCCGTGGATGAAGCTGCTGCCTCAGAGACAGGCCTGCAATCTGTACAGGATTAGGATTGTGTAGCAAACGCTTTGAAGGAATCTAACTTTTCTTCGACCGAGTCCGGTTTCTTCGACGTTAAATAACACCTACAAACATGCTCTGAAATCAGGCACACAGAAGGGTTTACAAAAACACATTGCAGACCTGTTTGAGCATCAGAAAAGATACTTTCATCCCGAAATACAAGCCGTTTTGTTTTTGACAGCCGTTTCTTTAAATACACTGTTCTGTAGCTACCACACCCGAAAACTGAAAAAGGGCTCTTTTATTACCCACTGATTCTTCTTCGTACTCTTTGCTAAAGTTTTGGCAAAAAAGGACGTAGAGTCTCTATGAGGAGAGAGCACTGGAATTCTAAATATCTGAAACCTTGACAATTAAATTAAGGGCGATGTTCTTTACTCATTATCAAAATACCCTTACATCGCAAGGGCCAGCCTTGAGCAGGTAACAGATATGATCATTGCATAATGGGATACGAACAAAGAAAAAGCTACAACGGCACGTAATCCCTCTTAATCCCACAACGAAACTATACGTTAAGAGAAACTACAATGTTAGAACTCACGCTGTTTGTGTCGGTAAGACCCAGGTTTTTTGTGCAAACGATCGAATGAATGAAAGAGAGTGTGGTAACATCCGATGATTTTCCTTAGTAACATACAAAAGCCAGTTCCCGTTCCTCCCATGAATTAAAACCCCTAACAAAGCGAATGTTGTTTAGCCCAGCTCTAATGTTGTATAAAGTAATATGAATTTCAGTCCCAATTTTCCCTTCCTCGGTATATGAAAAAGATGAAACTACTGTAAAAAAAAGTAGTATCAGGCTACAACGCTCTAATGTGTGAATTGCTCGCAGCAAAGCTCAAAATCCTACCATTGTGTAATATGATATCTAAACTCCATTCAACAAAGCAACACTGTCACCTCGTAGAAGCATTAAGTCATCGGCTTAGCATGGAATGACCTTCCATCCGAATCCTAAAGCCGAGTTAGTTAGATCTGAATAAAATTGTCATTTAGCAATGATCGTTTCGAATTAGTCAAAGAAGTCAACCAAGTCACCGGCTGCGAAGCTGGAAAAATCCCATCACCTTTTGACAACAAATCTCGCTTACGATATAAAGGTATCTTTATAACAGCACTAGGCGTTTCGTAACTGGCGAAAACTTGCCTCTTGACCTTTTGATTCTGACGTATAAATTTAAGCTTCCTGTATCCAGCTGGAAGACTCAGTCCAATGCGGTGATGAATGTCTACTATATGTTTGTTTAGAGAGTCAATATATCTCAAGTTTCACCTTCAAGTTGAGTGACTCACCATTTGGTCTTCTTTTCCGTTGTCCTGTCAACTTTACGTTAATGTCACCGGTGATTATTGTTAATCGGTTCCTGGTAACTGTTGTCTGGTGTGTGGTAAGGTTGCTTTGTACACTTGTCACGAAGGGTTAGTTATTTTAGGGCAGAGCGGTACATGTCATTTGCTAGACATAATGTACCTAGCTTGTCTACAATGAATTTCACCCTTTGATTTCATGATCAGCTTTGTTCTGTTGGCAGTTTTCCTTCTCGTTTTCCGAAGAAGAATCGGGGAAGTTCCAAAATTTTATCGAAGACAGAAATTTCGGTATTTTTTGGTTGGAGTTCGTCAACATTTCTATCATTGGCGTTTTCTATCGCTGAAGTAAAGCAAAAAGACATTGTCATGTTGATCAGTGTAAGAGAACAGCTCAATAGTGAGAGAAACAGGAGAAGAAGTCCGAAGAAAAGTGTAAGTCAAAGTCAGAGAAAATACCTCGACCCCCGGAGAACTTGGAAATGATCGACAGTGAATAAGAAAAATACACTTTGAGATATAAAGAAATAAGGATAACTCTAAAAACATGCATTAAATTATGTCTAATTGAGCTTTCCTTTCCAGTAGCGATCCAAGACCTATATCGGACTGAGTCCTCCAGCACACAGACAGCGAATGTCTCCAGCCAATACTGCACCTTAAATTTTTATATTAGCATTAGTTACTATAATTAGCTTGACACGATGATCAACATCCTCTTCCTCTTCAAAGGGCTTTAGCTGCGTCAGCTGCGTATTATCTCCTCTTCGTATCCATTGGCTTAAAGTCAAGTTACACCGCAGTCGAACCATCACCTGAGGGTACAACTACATATACGTGCTTACTTCTGCTTTTACCTTCTCTTCCAGCAGACGTAACCCTAGTGGTGTGTCTCAAGTTAGGATCAGGTACCGCTGAAGTATAGGTACCTTTAGCTACGATACTATAAAGATCATCATCGGAACTGTCTGGTGGCTCCGGGGGTTGAGGAGAAGAAGGGTGAAAAGATGAAGTTCCTCGAGTATTGCTATAAGAATGCCTGTCAGATAAACGCAAATTTGTACTATTTGCGTACGTATCTGGCAAGGCATCTAGAGGAGAAAGAAGCTCTCCCATGCTAGTAGCACGCATCGTACCTTGAGAAGAAAATTGCTCTTGCAAGGAGCTTTTTTCAGCAGACTCTCTTCTGTGCTGGAGAATACCACCTTGCATACTGCTTTGGTCAGTGCTTAAACCTCTTCCTGTTGCATCCTTCTGCCCCGTGTTAGGATCGTTGTTCTTTAACCATACGTCGCCAGGTGTGTTGATGTAATTTGGGTTGGTTGTTATATTTGGAACAACATCGCTTTCTGATTTTTCCTCACTCCATTTCCTGTTTAATGTGGGAGTGTTTCGTTGAGCTTTGTAGGGACTGTGCGATTCAGTGCTGCTACCAAGCCCCAATGGCGCGTTCGAGGAGCTGGAAACTTTCATAGGAGAATTTAGACCCACGTTGGATCGTTGATAAGGCGATGAATTGTGCGTGGCGACTTGGTGCTCTCCAGGGGCTATTGAAAGCGATTTTCCTTGGTATTTTGGCTCTCCATCCCTGTTAAGCGTTCCTGGTCCGGCATCCCTCAGCGAGTGATCAAGAGGGCTATGCTGTGGGTTTCTAGAGGGTGATAGCTGCCCAATGCCCGGACTTTGCTGCCTGCTATTCAAGGTGGAGCTCTGACTTAACAAAGTTCCCCCTGAAACTGATCTGGCCGGTGAATGTTGCTGTGATGTGCTGTTTATCATCCCCGGAGTAGACATTCCACTTGTATATGTTGGTTGTGTCGCTTGGTGCCACTGGTTAGGATCACGCACGGGGGAATGGCTAGACAGCACATGGCCAGTGGAAGGTCTTTGACGGGGTAGTGTCCTAGCCGGAGACTGAGGATGCGAAGCATGTTCAGAGACCATATGACGGTGCTGATGCGATACATTTCCGGCACTGAGGTGTCGAGGTATTCGCGCCCTCTCTTCTTGATAATCAGACATAAGTTGGCTGTGGTGCCTTTCGTGACTCCTAGATACGTTACCAGTGCTATTTGCTCTACCTTGCCGTGCTGGTCCTGTTCTGGGTTCACTTAGGTTCCGACTTCTAGATGGGGTTGACGGTAGACTGTTGACTGTCTCTTTGGCAAGCGGATTTGTTTGGTTTGTACCATTTACAGAGCTAAAAAGTTTGTAATTATTGTTGTTAAACATCGGGTTGACATGAATACCTGGCTCATTTTCTTTGCTTACTGATCCGTTTTCTGTCCCAGGATACCTGTTGTAAATTAGGAGAATCAAATACATTTTAGTGTGAGTTTCAACTAAGATTAAGGTGCAGACCTAGTTTCGTAAGAGTTTGATTCCTCAGTGCATGGGGTGAGTTGTAGAAGGTTGCTCGGAAATTTCGGAGATATCTCAACTATCATTAAATGTTTCAAGAATATTGGTAACGCCATAATAACTCTCCGCACTTGAATCACCGAAACATTGTTTTGCAGTTGAAATTTTTCTATGAAAGCAATTGAGCATTGGTAGTTACTTGTTAGCCACTGATCCCCAATTTACCCTCACCTGTCAATGTTAAACTCTTTAGGAACGTGATTATTAACATCGTGTGCGGTGAAGACCACCTCCGGTCCTTTCTGAACCATTATCCCATCTGGGGCTTCCTCTGCATCTGTTGGCTTATCAACTTTTTCAGGAACATGTCCGTTCTGATTCTTTGTCCCTGATTCCTTGGGAACCCCAATAAATCTCTTTGGTTTGTGCATAACGTCTAGTTTGATAAATTCCTTCTTTTTATGAAGGGTTAAAAAGCAAGCTACTGCCGCCACCATAATTATGGCTGCTCCCAAAGCGCTCAGAATGAAGACTGTAGTATAGGTTGCTTGGTTTTCTGGAAATTGTAATTTTGAAAAAAAATATTCATTATTTTGATATGCTTGGTTAAAGTACTCAGATTATAATATCAAGCAATATACTAAGATTGCGTTACTCCTCATTAAGTGACGATTAGCATGGTTACGTTGAAAGAGTCTCAATTAAGAGGTACCAAGGGAGGATTTTTCTCATTCCAAAACATCGGTTAGTCATTCTTTCGAGGCTTATGACCAATTCCAGAGTACAACAATTTTAATGTGATATTGTTGCTCAAGCGCATTCCGACAAAAGAGAGAGACTTTCCTCAATTCAAGGATTCGTACCGTCGTGAAACATTCAGTAGGGACTTTAAGCAAACTACTGCAGCTATTGCAACGAGAACGTGGAAAAACAATAGATCTAATTGGCAGAACAATAGCCCAGCACGTGCGTTTTAAAACTTTGTACATTTCTTAGCCGTCCTTTGCAAAAACACCAGCGTGAAATCACCAAAATTTGCGTCGTCTGCGAAGCGAAACCGCGACGGCAAATTATTTTAATGTACATTTGGAAGTCAACGCTTCTTTTATGCGTTATGTTGAGATTGAGGTCCGGCGCCCTATGAGACGGTAAACACATGCAGCCATTTTCGAAATTCCAGTAGAAACTCATTTTTTAATCGACATCTTCCGTAGCATTGCCGTCCTGACTGCTAAAAGTCCCTAGTATCAGCATTGACGTGTTTTTTAAGCAGTGAGACATATGTTACTAGTGGACAACAACACAATCTTGGGTCCTCGTTAGCTCATTACTAGTTTAGAGCGGCATATTGAGAGTGGCATCCCTCAGTTACAAAGAAAAAATTTCCTACGAATAAATGCTTTGCAATTTTGTGTGAATCAAAAGCAACCACGTGAAGCTGACCTTTCATGTGGAGAAACCAAAGGTAAAGTGAACCTGCTACCCCCATGACGACTTCCGGGCTTGCTTGTCCCATGACCACCGGTGCAGAACTGAAAGCAGTCTCGGGTGAGGGGCTTTGTTGAGTTTTGCCATCGGATGAACGTCCTGTGGGCGTTATGGTCAATTTGCTTGGTCGTGCAGTGTTTGATAAGGTATTCAGTGTCTTGTTTGGTAATGTGTAATTGGTATCGTTGACTGGTATTGTGATGAGTGTACCTGTGGATGTGGTTGGAGATTGTTTGTCTCGTTCATTAGGTGGATTTGTCGAGGCTAAAGGATTAGTTACTGAGACACTAGCATCAGATTTCGGCACTGTAGTGCTCGGTTTTACTGTTTCTACACCTTTACTTACCGTTAGGGGTTTAGTGGTGGTATCTTTGACAGTTGTAGGTGTCACTGTTTTTGTCATTTTAGCTGACGTTATTGGCCTTTTCGTGGGCATTTCAGTAGAGGAAAGAGTAGACAGTTTAGAAGTAGTCTTTAAAGGAGTTTTTGGTGTGGTGGTGCGCTTTGTTGAATGCGGTGGTTTAGGCGTACGTGCTCGACTCCTCCTCACTGTGATGTTTGTGATTTTTTTCCTTAGAGTAGTCAGAGTTGTTACTCTTTTACGTGTGGGTGTTAGCTTAGGTGTTTTCGGTTTTTTATTAGTGACTGTTAGTGACGTAGAATCGGTGCCGTAACTAGGAGGGGTGGTGTACGGAGGATAAGTCCTGGTTTTCCATTTCTCCTCTAAAGAAAGAACAAGATAAGAAGAAAAGAAGGGCACAGATGTAAAGAGAGAGAGTAAAGAAACGCACACCAGTTACACTTGCTCTTAAAGCTGGAAGGAAAAAAGCTTTATGAGCGTGCAATTCGCTTTCTTCTCTTTCGATTTTCAAACGTTTGAAAAATCCTTCAAGTCAGAGAATGACATGCCACGCTATGTCTTAAATTAATACTCAAACAACACATGTGCAAGAGTTCCTTAACTGTCTCATGGATGTACTGGAGCAAAAGGAGTAATTGGCAGGTCATCAATAATTTTTCCAAACTTTGCAAGAACTTTGAACATTTTATACATTTGTTTAAATTATGAAATCCCTCTTTGCCTGAAAATTGACTGAAATACATCCTGGAAGTATTTTTCTGTCTCAAAGTGTAGACTGCTGATCTTGTAACGGATTTTGTAAACATAAACAAAGGGGAGAAAAAAACAAGAAACAACCATGAAATCATTCTTTTCCTCACACCCGTACCGTCAAACAAAGTCTTGAAACCCTGAACTGCTGTTTCTTAGCAACAAACTCCCGTTTAGTTTTATGTACAACAGGACTGTCTGTGTCTTTAACTAAAAAAAGAAAAAACAAAAGCTAACAATAGAAATTCACTACAACAAAATCTTACCACATCCGTAGATGATTTTTACATATTTGTAAATTTTTTTACAAGGATTTCCATAGTAGGTTGCATTGTTTACGTCAATAATACAGCGCCTTTTCTTGTCGCAAAGCTTCATTATCTGCGGGGTAACATCCACTACATCGCACAACGTCTGGTCGTCTGTTTCATTGGCCTGAATTACTGAATCATCCACAGGGGCTTTACCAAATGGACATGTAATGCGCCCTTCTTCTTCGCGTCCGTAGCTAGCGGAGTAGATGACCATTGCAAGAGAGGTGTTTTGGCACTTGAACTTTAATTCGGTTCCTTGACAAACCACCTGAGTGTTTACTCGTCCAACTTCTATGACACGAACTTCTGGAAAGAAAGAGAAGTTTTTTACGCCATTACCTTACAATATATAGTATTACAAGGTTATCACAGTCGATTGAAACCTTCTTTACGTACGTTTCGCATGTTAAAAAGGGGTCAGATTGACTTATATGTTGGAAAACTTTAAGGGCATGAAGATGACAAGCGTTTCTACTTAGAACTCTACTGACTGAGAGAATGCCCGTCATTTCTCGCGCGAAACACAATATGAATGGTGAGGATAGGTTTACGAGGAACATCATGTACAAGAGACAGGAATATGTGTTCGTTGGGTAAATTTGAAACAAAGATTCACGGTATACGGCGTTAGGTCAATGAAAATTAAGCCATTGTCACACTGAATAGATTTGTTCAATTTGATTTCTGCTACCAGCGAAAAAGAAGATTTGCCAGTAAAATAAAAATTTTGTTAAAAAATTTTTTCTTAGTAATGATACCTCAAATTTTCTTATAAGGCTATGATGATTTTAAGGCTATGATTATTCTAAGGCTATGGCGATTTTTGGAAAGGCCTAAAATGATAACAGTCGAGAAATTTTAACCTGACGCTAATAAAAAAAAGTGGACTTTGTTCCGTTGAACTATAAGCAACGAGAATTTACAAAGCACTTCTTGCAAAGCAAGAGAAAAACCACCAAATGTTCAGAAAAGTTAAAAAATGGCTATTGAACCATTTTGATTATAACTTGCTTTTTGCTTCTTTTTATCATCATTATTACTTTTCCTTTCATTCTTTATCTTGTTGCATCTTAAGTGCATTTATTATGATTTTTGTTGCTTTGTTTTTTATCTTTTTTTCTCTTTATGGTTCTTAGCCGCGTTTGTTTTGATACACTTTTAACGCGGTTGCAAATAACCATCTTAATAAACCTCAGTGTTTTCATTCCACATTTGCATCCAATTATGGACAGAAATCCTAGCATATCATAAAAAAGATGATAGGTTTCCGTTCTGATTAAAGGAACATCATTCCTCAAAGATATATTCCTTCCAGGCTCTGTAAGACGTACGGGTTATAATTGATAACTTTGGAAGGAAAAGACGTTAGCTAGGGCGACTTTGTTAAGAAAGCCTTTGCATCTATTTTACATTTCAATTTTGTATTCTATCTTTGATGATCAGATCGTTGCCGTAATTACTGCAAGCTACGTATACACCTGTTGGTAGAAATATAGCACAAAGTAAATTTTACATAGCCAATTACACGCCGTCTTTTGTCATTCGAAGAATAACTTGATAGTCTTTTCTCGTGATCTTTGCTTTGAGGAGAATTCTCAAACATTCTCTTGAGCGAACGGGCATGATCCATAATTCATTGCAACAAGGTATCGACAATCTGGCGCCCTTATTCTTCAATCATTTTGCAGCGAGGTTTAGAACGTGTCTCCCATGAAAAATATATGATGAAAGGTGCTGTTTATGCTTTCGATCTGACTCAATAGGTCTTGTGGGAAAACGTCGTGAAACTTCTACAACCTTACGTTTAATTAGATGTCCAAGTGTGTCGAGCTACGAGAGCCTTGAAATATTAAAAAGCGTGGACTTAAAATGAAGTTTCATCGAGTTAGAGGCACGTTCAAAATATGTGAAAATCGCAACCTCTTGGAAAGTAGGTAGAGAAGTTTTATTATTTGTATTAAAAATAATATAGTCAGTCACGAAATTAGAAAGCTTTTTTTTCATAGAAAGTTCGTTTCAAAGAGGAATCTTAAAGTTTCTGGCTTGGGTTAACTTTTTGAAATTGGCTCACACCGAAAAGGAAAATTGATGAAAAAAACGGAGGTTTTACTATTACCTCTAATTAATGGACAAACTATAGCACGCACAGATTTGTCAGTATCGAGACGAAGGCTAATCGCGTTTACAAATGTTGACTCAGTAATTATTGGAGTCCCTTCAAAAAAATAGCTTCCTTTGTGAACATTACACGGGAAGTGATAACAAAAATAACACAAAGAGGGCTAATTGATAATAATAAGGCAAACGAAAATAGAAAGACGGTTTCTTGAGTTCTTCCCTTTCCTCTCAGCTAGAGGTGAAGTCACTCTGTAAGGGGTTCCCATAATTTTCTTTTTGCATGATACGTTCAGACATCTGTGATATCTGCATGACATATTTCAGTATGTAAAACAAGCGATTGTTTTTGTTATAGATTTCTTGAGGCTAACCACTCTTGTTTTCATAATGGCAGCTTACAGCTTATTTAACTTTCGCATCGCCTTAGCACATTATACATTTCTTAAAGGGGTTTTTAAAAAACATCCTCAATATTTGCCTTGTGATCGTTTCAAACAAAATTTGTCTGCCTCATTGAACAAACGACGTGTCTCCGTTCCACAATAAAGTAAGATTGTAATTGTTAATCTTTTATATGTACGCCTGCGGTCAAGAAAAGGAATACTCAATGAATGGCAAATTTTACCACAAAAGCTGTATCACAATGCCTTAAGTCGTAATTTTCCCCCTCTTTTTACCATACACAACAATTATTTCATTGGCAGAATTCCTATTGCGTTCGGACGCAGAGCTATTAAAGCTAGATAGACAAGGCGCTGGCTTCCCGATCGCTCTAAGACTTTGTAGATAGGAAATAAAAAGCAGTATGTCAGTCTCTTTTTCTCTGATCTTCGTCGAAATCGGTGAAAAACTTCGCCATTTTTTGTTTACATATTGCGTGCTTCAGTAGGCTTTATACATCACTCGCACCAGAGATGTTATTTGTAGCTTCCTCAATCGGAGACAAACTAAATTAGTTGGATAGGATATAACTTGGCAAACGCACTTGAACTTACCGCCGTTGGTAACCGACATGGTTAGCTTCAGCACAAGGATCACAAGGGTAATCTGGTAAGAGAAAAACACACAGATTAAGAAACAGTTGGAAAAGAATATGTGACGCATTCGAGGTTAGTTTTTGGTATAGGAAAATGAATTAAGCGTACTTTTGCAAACAGTCCGGAAGAATCTAAAAGTATCATCGCGGATTCTGATCATTGAGCCCTTTCGTCCTTCTCTTGAGTGATAATTGAATCCCTCTCTGAGTCCAATTACACCTACAAGACCGAATCTGAAGTTGTTGATAGCGTTGTCTGCTAAATTGACTCGCCTGTCCGGGTAAGCGAAGTTTATGGTGATTTTCATTAATTTTAATGCGCTTTTAGTAGGCAGAGCTGTCACAAGTTCGATTTCAAAGGCCTTCGGTCTATCGAGTCAAATCTCGTCCGAATTTAAATTAAAAATACTTTTTTTTTCGGCGAGATCTCGATGAGAAGCTTTCTAAGGCTCTTCGACGAGCCTTGATCGATATGATCTTGAATACTAGGTGTTTAAGTGGTAAGGCCCCGTTAAGACTAAGGTAAACTTTGCAGATTTTTCTGGTTTTCTACCCACATTTTATTTAAGCGTTTTCCCACCTGCTTTCAAACATCACCTGTTCTCCTAATATAGCCAACGAGTTGTCAAATATGCTAAGAAATAATTGCAGTCTTGAGTCGACAGCAATAAACACTGGGCACAGCCTATTATCACAACACAAAAGGCAAACAAAATCAAATTGCAAGAGACACTTAGCATGTTAACATCCAGCGAGACATTGCGGGCCCCACTCGAAAAGCGTTGTAAAATTTAGCCTGAAGCGTATCGCACTTACCCTCAAATTGCTAAAATCATTGCGGAACTCTACAAAAGCTTCCAATAAAGGGTTTTTCAAAAGGAAGGGCTTTCGTAAATATTCCAGTATATGAATTCTCGATGACACGAAAACCCCTCGATCTCAATATCCGGGTAACCGACAAGAAGAAAATAAAAATTATGCAAAATGTCTTTTATTATGAATTTTGATTTTAATTCTAAGCGACTGAAATTTCTTTCTATGATACTCTAGGAATGAAATGTAAGCTGCTGCGATTTTTCGTCAGAGTTCAGTTCTCCGCAAAACTACAAACTCCCAGATCTTTGTGTGTTATTTTAGGCGAGTATCTTTCTTAGGCAACAAATTTTCTAACACAGAACCCTTCATCACCAAAAAGAGCTTAGAAAGAAAACTACTAAAGCATTTTTTTTTTCTCTCTGTTTCTCCGGTACGTAAGTTCTCGCTAAGTCCGCGACCTGAGAAATATCTCACATTGGCAAAAAAAATTTGGCTGAACATTCAATAACCAAAGTAAACAATCAAATTGTTGGCTTACATGTTTTCAAGCGCAATATAATATCATTGCGATATCAGTGGATTTTGCCTTTCTGCATAGCAGCAAATTAAAATTACTCCTCGTGGATTCATTATTAATCACCGGAATTTGTAGAAATGGATAGCTGTAATTTCCTCTCCCATCTTCCAGACGTTGTTATAAATTATTGTTAAGTGAGATGGTCCTCTCTTATAAAGAATACTAAGGTCTAAAAGATTAATGGACCCTTTTGGGCAAATTCCTTCGATTTTACACGGAGCAGTTCCAAGGTAAATTTGCTTGTACTTAACTGATCAGGAAGTCCAAAACTTCCTCTGAGTCTTACCTCGGTTTGAACCTTTACAATGATATGTTTGATGAAGAAATTAAAGTCTCCGCAGGAAACACAAAGCGTCGCTCAAAGAATCAGTCATGAGAATTTGGTTTTATATCGTAACAAATCTTCTCAGTTATTTTTGTTCGCTTTTTCGTCTATATCCGACACCTACCTGTTTTGATTGTGTTGCTACATTAAGAGAAATCAGTCCATGATGGAATAAAATCTTTAGCGTGTACTGAATACTTAGAAGATTATAACCCTATCATTCCTTGGTGAAGAAAACTGCTGATTTTCATGATAAGTGATATCAATCAAGGAAATAGATATTTGTGATCGGCAGCACAAAGGGTTTTTATGGGAGAATGTATCTTTCCGTATGGTTGACATCGTTTACATGTTTTGATAAAAATATCTCGTCACATGGTCAACGAGTCTTATTTCGTTCGGTTTTAAACAATCTGTTCACTATTCATCAAGCATATAGCCTGCCTAGCTGATTAACGCAAATTCTAGTGATATCAATTTTCATTCCAATGTATAATGGTTAGTAGAAGGGTACAAAAGTATGTGAGACGCAAAAACCATCACTCATTTACACATGATGACTAAATACTCCTTCGCTTACATTGGTGGCGTTCTACACTGTCACATAAAACCCCTTTGGTATTCAATGAAATTTGTATAACTCAAACCGACCAAAATAACAGTAACGCATATAGAATGTGACCGGCCAGCTCGGGATAACAGATCTAAACTCAAAAGTCCAACATTGAGGTCTACTTAAAGCCGAAGAGATATCGTTTAATTCTTCAAAGTGTTTTTTTTCCAGATAAATGGAGCAAAGATCTTAAAACGAAATTTTCTGATAACCTACCTGTACCTGACGACATAACTTCACATCCATCATGGAGTTCATGCGACATACAAGTTTAATGTAGGGATAGCATTTTCTGCAAAGTTGAATATATTCTTGTGGTTCCTTTAGTAGAGAGAGGTACGTGATTTCCGAGTCACCCTGCCTTTGTTACGGCACGTCTTCAATTTGTGTCATAATTTAGAGATAAATATCTTAACGATTGCCAATTATTTCCTTCCTTTCGGCATCAATATAGTTAGGACGATGTGGGCGGCCAGGTATGTCGGTTTTGTCAATGCTCTGCGTGATGTTATACTCCGTTCGCCTTTGGCAGTCCCCTCTTCGTACTTCCGTTCAGCTTTTTAGGTTTTTGAGCGAGCGCTTGCGAATAAAGTAATTATGAGACTAGCATTATTTTTGCCGACCTCAGCGACAATACTCCTCGAGCTCCTTACATTAAAGCTGCTTGCCACTAGAAATTATGTGTTCAAACTCCAACGTTCTTTATGGCTATTTTTTCCTGTTACCTTGCACACTAAATAAAAACGGCGAGTTGCGAAATCAGATGTTTAAATATTTAGTAATTGGCTAAGTCATGTTCCGGTATAACTGATATACCATGGTTAAGCATTACACAGCTAGAATCGCTAGAATGCGTTACGTATGACTGCCCCTGTGTTGATAAATATCAACCCCATGGCTGTGGGATATTCTAATAACTCACTTGCAAGTATTTTGAGATTTTGGAGTATTGCCAAATTTCCCTTGTTCTTTGTATTTATAAATTATACTTCTTTGAATATTTTTAAATAATGTCTTGATCCAATTAAGTGCTACTTTCGCATGGACTCCTGGGGGGTTTTTGATTAAGTTAAAACTTAGCATTTAAGTGAACCTGCCTCTGTGAAAGTGGCTAAATGTTTGTTCGATCTGGGCATTATGAAAATAAGCATTTGAAATTAAAAAGAACTGATTAAAAATATACCTTCTCAGTTTTAGGAATTTGACTGGGTCTAATCTGAACTCAGAATGACAAAAAAGTCGAAATTTAGAACATTTTACAGAATAGCAATTTATAATACATGTGCGTCTGACAAGTGGGACAATGTAGTGATGATGGAAAAGAACGTGTGTGCCAAATCAATTTGAAACCTACTAGTCTGACGAACCCTCAAATAAATACATAATCCATTCCTCGATTCGGTCTCACCTAACATATTCACTTGACAGATATCGGTGCATTCGGTCACTGCATCCCATCAGTGCATTTTGATCTGTGCGGGCCGCTCATTTTGACTGTTTTGATATTTTCATAGGTGCTGACTTGCTAGAATGATGCAATATGTTTGGGAGTAATTTTTATGAAGTATTGCCAGCATATTACTCAACTAGATACTGTTTTGTCCGTCTTTTTATCGATAATTAGTGATACTTGGTTCTTTACCACTCATATCTTTTTGCTTTACATTTCTTTCAAACTGAATGGTAGATAAGGGCGTAGACAAGGAAACGGTACATATTCTAGAAAATAAAATGAATAAGACAATATAGTGCATTTGTCATTCTCTACTCGTTTTTTCATTGACTGATTTTGAAGTTTGAGTTTTAATATTTGAGATACCCTTTTTGTGGCGCACAGAATAGAATTCAAGTAAATCCGCTACACCATCATTGTACAAAAACCAAATGATAGAAAACCCATCTTCTGTACTCTTAGTAGACTGTTTTGGTCAGCATAACGTGGAAATAAGGTATCACCAACGAAAAGTTGCACGAACTTTTCCAGATTTGTAAATGATTCTTGAACTGATTTGTTTGTCTGGAGATTATGAAAACATCAAAGCAATTGTAATGTTTGTGGTTTTGCATTACAAAGGTACCGTTTAATTTCCGCTCAGCTAGATCCCCCTAACTGTGCGATTATTCAACCCCTTTTTCATTGGAAAGAACTCAGCGATATTCTATCAAACGGCTACACATTACATACACAAAGCAAAAGGTTTTAACGTGCTGAGATTTCGTTAACGCATTTGTACACAAAAACGCTTTTCTTTCAATGAAAATCGAAGAATACTGCGCAGAATGGAAGCAATACAGTTCGCCTGGGAAAGACCATATTGCTTTAATGCATTTATTGTCGATGGCGTATCTTAATTCATGCATTTTTCACAAGTTTTTTGTTTGTCGTGTTCTACACTCGAATTTTGATCGCCTCGCAAAAGTACATTTCTCTCCACCTCTTTTAAATCTTTGAAAAATTAAAGTAGACAATACATATCGTATAGAATCATTTTTTCACAACTATTATGTCAAGGAGGACATTTATGCTTTCAAAGATCTTAACCAGATCCTAGTGTCAGAAAGCTCGATACAAGCACCACGCACCCTAAACAAGAAATTCAGAGTACGAAATTATTTTATTTAGTCGTAGGTTTTTTATAAGTAATTTTTAATGCTCGAAAACGATCATATACTCACTGCAGACGTCTTCGTTTCCCAAATCATTTCCTCGTCAATGTGTTGACAGATCCGTATGCGATAGTTTTCACATCTGTCATCGGGAAATAAAATTGTTTCAGCCTAATTCAAACTCTCGGATTCTTATTTAGGCAGTCCATGGCTCAAAGATGAGAAAGAATCGGTAGCGTTTTCGAAAGCACTTATAACTTCTTCATTGCGCTTTTCTCGTCGTTTCCAGGGCGTACAAGTGTATGCACTTAAACAGACAGTTGAGGGCAGGAGAAGTAATTAAACCAGAAAATGGCAGCTGATGGAATTGAACCTAGAGGAATGGGTCGAGTGATGAAGTGGTGTGTAAGCCTATAACTGTTTCACATGAATATTTATCACTTCGCTCAGAGTGCCCTAGCCCAAGATGAAGCGAATCCTGTGTTCTAATTGGCTACCTGAGCGGGCAAGATGGGTCCATCTTACCCGCTCGGAATTGCCCGCATTGATCCCGCACATGAAAAGACAGAATTAGAACTACGTTCGTAATTCTTGGACAATTTCGACGACGGAAGCGCAAAAAGCGGTAGAAGATAGTCAAAACAAAGAAAAACGAAATAACTCAGTCTCGTGAGTTTGGTACGCTACAAACACAGTTGGCTTTCTTTCCCGGCTCTCGCAGGAAACAAGTCATTCTTTATTCTTAATAAAGCGAAATATTTTTTTCATAATATGATAAATCCTTTATCAGCTAAGCTTTTTCGGTCAAGATGGCTAGATATTAGGCTCGTGCGACTTCGTCTCGGTCCATAAAAATGCAACAAAACATTGGCAACAGATGCAATAGAACTCGGCCAATATCCAGCCATCTTGACCTCACGCTGGGTTAATAACGCAGGTATTTAACCACATGAAGCTAATAAGTAGGCAGTCACAAAGTTGATTATGAAAAGCATATCATTAAAAAGGACATGAATTGCAAAATTTCTCAACGACCAATGCACGCATAAAGTATTCAAAGTTTATTTTAGAGTTAAAGTTCAGAGCTCTTTTACAAACTTTCACATGCACTGTTCCTTTATCCTATTTTGTTAGATTCGCTACTTAGTTTCAAATAGATGACTAGAAAAAATTATGGCATTCTTTCTCTCTCAAAAAGCTCAGATCTTGCTGAGACAAAGTAACAATGATATCAGCGATATACAGTTTTGAGAAAGAAATGTTTCGTTTTTGTTTTGTTTTTGTTTGCTCTCTCCTTTGAACTTCCATTCATCTGGATGATTTCAGCATTTCTAGTGAAGACTGAGCTATCAGTTCTTATCTGCGAGAAAATTTACCGGTTCAGACCAAAATACCACAAATACTTCCTTTGTCAAGCATAAATTAACCTATTCACGGGGATGAGGTAGTTTTAATGGTGCATTTTGGTTCTTCTACCCTTCCGAATAGTTCTTCGCCATCTTCAAGAATGGCATCGCAGACTGAAATGTGCTCATAATCTGGCATTTCCACGTCAATCCTAAACCTTAATACAGAACCACAATACCAAGCAAATGGCAAATTTGGTTTTATAACAGGGTGATCGTAATCTGAAAACTAATATCATTTTCTAATCTTATCTCTTACACACAAAACTGACATGAATAACACTGGTCGGGAGAGACCTCCACTGTGAGGAATCACACTTTCAAATTATTACATTTCTCTTACGACGGAGCTAACTTACACAAGGGCTGGAAGCTCTCGTTAGCAACTAAAGAGCCTGGTCGCTTGCGGAGGCTCTTGCGACTATATTTTGAGCACGGTTCGTAGATACATTGTTTCATGAATTTAAAAGATTACAAACTTAAGATACTTTGCTGTAAGAACCCGAGTAGAATTTGAAAAAAAAATATATATATATCAGTAAACATTTGTTAACTTCAACATTATCATTACGAGTAGGAGCATTTCTGATTTCCAACTAGTTCTAACTTTCATAATATCATCAGCCATACGTTTTTTGGACATTAACTTAGTCCATAAGTTACCTTGATAAATTGGGAAATAATTTGTCTGTCTCAATATCTCCTGTACATATTTGTTATTTTACCATCACACCGGTTTACCATTGCATTAGGGCGGCGGCGATCAAACGCGCAAAATGTGCGACGGTATTACATTGTAATACAGAGGGAAAATATTGATGTAAACTGAGCGGATCAGAAAATGGCCACTCTGTACGATCAAAACATGGCCTTTTTCCATTTTTTGTTTAAGCTTGAGCAATAAACTGTAAAATGCGAAATTTTTGTTTTTGGTTAGTCTTAGGGAACACTGAAATGACTTTGGCCCGTTTGTGTTGTTTCAGTCCATCGTGCACGCCATAAGCTATTGATACGACACTTAGCTGATGGTCGTAGGAAATACTTAGAAAACTTACACCGAAATAAGAACAGAACCCAAAACCGACTATTTGTAAACGAAAAAACTCTTTCCACCAGAGTGGCTAAACATTGATATGGTTCTCGCATTACAGCTGTTGATTACTAAAAGCTCCACTTGTTGTGTGTTTAGCTCTCGCACAGCCCCATAAGCAAGTGTGGAGGAAAATTAAATGCATGAAAATGGATATCTGAACTGGAATAGGGTTGAAGACACATCCTAAATTAAATTCCCATCCTTTGTCGTTGCAGACTTGAACCCCACTGATTTAGAGGAAACAGGCAATCTAAGAGAATTTTAAATTGCTAGTTTGAAGAGCGATGAAAGTAACTAATTTGTTTAAATTGATTACATTAGACAAATTTTGGAGAGTTTTGATTGGCTCTTGGTCGTTTTAGGAAAAATGTTTAAGCCTAGCTTTGATTTTAAAAAATAACGTTAGCTCAGTTATCCTTTAATTATGAGTCATCTGCAGAAATCCTGACAAATCAGTTTTTAAAATCAGTAAAAGAGTATACAAGGAGGCTAATAATAAAAAGCCTCTGAGGATGGTCTGCTGTCTCCAGTCCTCGATCTGGGCGGAGCATTAAAGTTTGTTGGCCTCTCTCTTTCAATCCTTAGTGATCTGTTACTTGGGTACTCTGAGCCCATATACCTCTTTGAACTGTCGTATCTCCTGGGTGTGGCAGGAGAATATGGATTTCGTTGGTATCTGAGAGTTTCATTCTGTCTGAGGTAAAGGCAGGGAGAAATGTTGGCTCGGAACTCTATTTGGTTTCCGTGCTTGATGAGATTTTTAAAACATGTACTCAGGACTAATTATAAGTTATACGATAGGAACTATCTCAAAACTTCATGTTGAGTAACAAAGGTGTGTTTTGTCACGTGATAATGCCGCCCACGGACGGTGGAAAGAAGGTCTCAAGAGGGCGATGGCTTTCGCGGCTAAAGGTTAAAATTTTGGCTACTTTATGGCCATCGGTTAATTCCTTTCCTTTATTGTTAAAGGAAAACGTTACGGTTAACTTTTTAAATAATTAACAGTTAAATTGGCCAATTTTTTTTTTCGGTTTCACGGCTAACGGTTAATCCCACTGAAAAAGTATATCAGCAAACACGGAGAAAATACATTGTATTGAATTGATTCCCAATCGGTATGTGCCAAGTTTCTTTTTTCTTATTCCTTATGTATATAAGGAATTTGGAGTTGAGTTATCACTGGCTCTTTTGACGTTTTGTTAATTTTTTCTTTGCTCGACCTGATTGGCCGTCGTAAGTGGGTCCCTTTGGGTTTAGTTAACGCGAAAAGCGCTCAATTGGCCGAAAAGGCTGTAGGCGTAAGTTAAATTACTTGCACGGTAACAGATGTTGGATCTAATCATTCCTAAATAATATTAGTGCGAAAACTGCGAATGAGTGTAAAATTTACTAAATTCACTTTACGTTAACAAAAGCAAGCTCTTAGAGTCTTAAAGCCTCTGCGTTATTTACATGATCACAGACCTCGTAAGTGTACCAAACGAGTTAGTTGAGCTGTTATAAATTTTTGTTATTACTTATGAAAATAACGAGGATTTTTTTAAATTTATGTTCTTTAATGTTCCTGGTCCTTGGTGGTGTTTTAATAATTAAGCGGAAGGGTATTGGGCTTTGATAGCAATGTTAATTGGAGGAACCCAGCCGTGTTAGCGTGGAATGCTTTTCCTCCTTTTATAGCGTGCTGAAAGAAAAATTAAACACAACACTATAAAAAAAAAAAAACAAACAAAATGAAAAAAAATAAAATAAAATGAAATATGAAAGCATTGACTGAAAAAAAAATTAGGAGTGCATGGAATATCGAGGATGGAGATTATTATCGTTGATGCATGTTAAAAGCATAAAAAATGAGATCATAAATTATAATAATTATGCTTGGCGAGACAAATGCCCACCTTCAAGAGAAGGAAAAAAAAAACAAGATAACAAAATAAGGGAAAACCAATCGATTATGCAGTTGCATATAACAGCCAGCTGAAAAAAGACTTTTCATTAGAAAGAACTGAAGCACTTCAGGGTCTTCCGTAGAGGGCTGAAGAGGAATTACATTCGTCTGTTTGTTTGTTGGCCATATTGCAAGTCAGCTTTTCTAGTACAAATATCAATTTAGTTACTAACATAATGCGGACCTGTTTCAAATGCTTTAATATAACACTTAAGATCAAACGTTTTCGATGAAAAACGCGAAAAAAATTTATAATTTTGGCATATCAAACTTATCCCATATAAAG